TACGGGATAGAATCAAGAATAAATATCCAAAACGAGAATGTGCAGGTGGCAAGTTTGAATTGAGAGGGAGCGGATTAAAGGGAAAAATGTCGTTAAATTTGAAAGACAAAACAATTAAATGAAACAGAAAAGGAATGAACCGAGATGGAGGAGGAAGGAAAAAAATTGAAAAACGTGGAACGGATCCAAAAAAGTAAATCCAATTACGAAAATACTAATAAATGACAAAAAGACTTTATAACAAAGTATAAAAATGTTTTAAGATATTCTTAACATACACAGAACATTGTCATAAATATTTTGGAATAAATTTGATTTCATCATGATAGTATTGATGTTGGGTAACTTTATATGAAAATTAATCTTCAATATTTTCTGGGAAGTGGTAGGGCTGTCAAACCTGTAAGAATGAGAAATATGTAGGGGGTTCCGAGAAATTGAAGTTTGTGCCAGTCTTAATGCTATTAATGTTTTATTCTTGGTTTGAGAACCCTCGCTGTAACAGTCAAAACGAGGAACTTTTCACAATAAATGTGCTATCTGAAAACACTAACTCGTACATACATCTTACCAACTTATACAGTAAACTAGTGGTGATCCAACAGTACATGCTTTCCCACATTATTTCTAAATTTGCAATTCAGCAACAGTTGTTGCGCAGAGCTGAGGTCAATTCGAAACCCGCACTGCTCATCTCTAAGCAGCGCAAGACCTCGTATTTCCCATTTCAAGGATCAGGCGCACGAAAGATTTCTCAAGAAGCGAGAGGAAAGTAATAGGTTTGTAACCTTTCGTAACCGAGAAGGGGAAATAACGTAGGGCAGGTACGCGTTCAGGTGCTCCCGCAGGAACTCCACTCTGTTGGCACCAAGCGCGCGAAGCTGGGTGACTGTTATCCGGCATGCTGTCCAGTCCCCGTGCCTTGCGTGTTTGGAGGTGTCGAGGCGCCTCGCGGTGCTCCCTTCCCATCACACGTCGCGCAGAATTGCTCGGCGTGGCGGTCGGGTATTCACGCAACCGTATAACAGTGCCCTGGTCCCCGAACTGGCCGCACTCGAATGTTCAGAACGCCGTTCTAGCCACTTCGTGAAGAGTTCGCTTTTAGCGGCGTCCTCCCACACGTATTTCGGCTGTGGAGCGGTGCGACCGGGTTGGGTCCGAGGCCGTGAGCAGCGGGCGGTTTACTTCCGCCTTGTGGCCCAGCGCCTTCGATAACTCCCAGAGGTTTCTTTCACGAAGATTGCAGTGCGACCATTAGTGCTTCTCTCGACTTGTAGAGACTTATTCTGCCGAGAGCTCACGCCCGCGCTCCGTGCGTGGGATCGCCGAAGCGGGGCTTAGTTTAGAATATCTGTGGAACTCCCGCAGCGTCCTTCCCTTCTCATCTCAGGGCGTGATTAGTATTCGCGGGTAATTGTGGTATTTTATTTGTATGACTTTCCAAGAGCGGAGGTGACATGAGTCACTGCGCCGTCGATATAGTCTCGTGAATTTAGAGGTTTTCGCTTAAGTAGAGTGCTTATGTAAGCTCTGAAAACGGCCCAGTTGGTATTATGGGATACTTTAAATTTGTTTCGGCGCGCTTCGGCGAAAGATAAATCACGAATATTACCGGCCTGTAATCGGAAGCCGGATAGGAGATCAAAAGCGGGCGTGCACAATCAATGAGTGTCGCGATCGCAAGGTCGATAATTCCCGCATGGGTAGATAGTGGGCTCTTTCGAGTCCCACAAGTATACGCCACTTCTCGCCCCAATGTAGGTCGCCGAGGCAGCCCCATTATTTATTCCTTGCGTTGAAGTTCCCTAGAATGAGGATATAAGTATCGAACGCGAGTATCGTGTCGATACAAGCACTGTCGTGTGGCTGGTTTGGGCAGTAGACGGGCAGTTAGACGGACGCGTACGTCGCTCACCTGCTATCCAAATTCTCACCACGACCGCCTCTGGTGAACGCAAGTCGCCAGGAAGAGTCATTACTTTGAGTTGGAGGATATCGCGTCGGACCAGGGACGCAACACCGCCCGCCCCCGCTTTGACCTCGCGGCGTTAAGTGCGTATCCGTGAATTCGGGCAGTGTGATGTTCGTGAAATCACGTTTCCTGTAGCACTAATTCCAGATGTCGCTCGATAGCAAAGTTCTGTATTACCTGGAACTTTTCGTACTCACTTTGAACATTCCAGGTCCAAGTTCGCAGCGGTGTTTCGCATTGAGACAGAATTTACATTATTCTGCGCCATTGTTGAGTCAGAAGGCGGATCGTTCCTCGAACCTGGTCTTCGGAGAATGCGCCCAGTTGAGCCGGCGTCTCTTGCGTCGCTTCATTTCGCGGCGCAGCGGGGTCCTGAGCGGGGACCGGACGGAGCCGCTACCGCTGGCCAGGTCATCTCATTCGAGGAGCCTCACTCGACGGGGCGTAGAGACTGCACCTCTCGGCACGTTGCCGTGGAGCGCTTGATGAGCGCTACAACAGCGTGCATCTTCCGCATCTTTTGTATGATGTGTGCTGCCAATTGCAGCCTTTTGGGCGGACCGAAGTACCGCGTACGGGGCAGTCCTTCGTGCTTGTCTGCCTTGTTTGCCGTGCAGATTTTGCATCTCAAGGGAGATTCGCAGTTTTTGCGAGTATGTCTCCATATGCAGCATCTCTCGCAGAAGCGGTGGCGCTTCCGTTCCTCCCGGGCGACATTTACGTCGCTGGAGCCAATTGCCTTGACGCAGGAAGCTTCGCGCGAAGGGTGACGCGAAAAGTTCCCACGTGCACGGAGGGAGTGTTGGTGGCTTCGCCTGCGGCATCGCTGCCTTCCGAAGTTCGGCTGCCGACATGTTGACGAACGCCCAACGGGTGGAGGGCTGTGCCTACGAGCTCCTCGCGCCTCTCGTCAGCAGTGACGCTGCGCAGAATCGGTTTGAAGCACCCGCGATGTTTACCTTTACTCTGCGAGGTGGGGGTAATTTCCCAAACAACAAAAAAAGGTGCAACTTTGTGTATTTCTCGACTTCCCGGTACGTATTTGGTGAGGGGGCCAACACTTGGTAGCCAACTCTGCCCTTTCGGGTTATGACGCGACCGATTGTGGTCAACACCGTAGTGACCTCCCCTATTTTTACGGCATCTAGGGGTATTTGCAGCCGTATGCGGTAGGGTCGTCAGGTTCCTTCGGTGGGGCCAGCGCGATCCCGCAGTCCGTCGCGGGGCCCTCAGTCCCGGGCTGCGTGGGAGAGGCGGTTCTCTCCATGGACAGCTCGCAGGGTGACGGCGTGTCTCGGCCGCGGCGGTGTGGGAGCGGGGGTCGCAGTGCGCGCTTCGATTTCGCGCGCCCGTTCCCGAACCGATGGGATGTGATTTGGCTGGGGCTGGCTGCTCCAAAGCTTCAGGATCTCCGTTTCCCTCGTCCGGGCGGAGGCCAGGAGCACCTTACTATCGTGGAAACTCCCGAGGGCTGAGCATCACGGCATTTCTCCATGATTCTCCGCCTTCCCACGCCACGCAGAGCACGATGCTGCGCCGCGGGGTTGTGGTGTCACCTCCACGCAGCGGTGGTGGCGAGGTGTCGCGAGAGGCTCCTATGTCAGGGAGAGCAACATGTCGTTGCCCTCCATTCCGCCACCTCTAGCGGGTGAGCATGGCCCGATCTGTCTCCCTGTTGACCGGCCCACGGGAGCGAAGCTCAATCGGAGCTACAAAGCGCAGCCCACTGGTGCATAAAGTTACACTATCCGAGGACAAAGTTTATTTTAAAAAATAGTACAATTTTGGAAAAAATTTTGAAAGTATCGATTTTTGGTATCCGTAACAATATTTCGAAAATATAAGTGTTTCTACGCAATTTTGTGTGAAATACAGGCAATTTTTAAACAGTTATTTTCTCAATGTGCTCAAACGTTTTTCCCAATTTTGTCCACGGATAGAACACGGAACGCCTAAAAATGGAGTAGGTTTCGTTTTCGTTGAATTCTCTGAATTTTTGAAACTTGCAAAAATTACAAATTATGCAAGAAATAAGTGCTGTTGTGGCTCCACGAGTCCCGTTATTATTGGGGTACCCTTGATGAAGTCGGCAGATCGCTCATCTACTACCTGAGGATACTGGTGCCAATTCCGTTTGATCCAAAGCATTATACAAATGCAAACAAAGTACAATAAGTAGCAGGTACGCCGCAGGTTTGCTTGCACTTCTCCCGTCTCCCCTGCCTGTCCTTCCCCGTTGGTCCATCATAGCATTGCAACAGAGTCATCATTGCACATCCATCAAAACATTCATTTCAGGTATGGGCGGAAAGGCTAGGGACTGTTTATTATTACATTATTATTTTAATTTGCGATAGGCCTTTTTAATATTTGGGAACGGTCTTCATGTATTCTTATGCAATGTAAAAGTAAGTTTCTTTGAGATTGCTTTTCAAATTAAAATCCCATTTGCTTCAGGAAACGACACCATGTTCAAAATTAGAATTTTGACGTTTCTTTATCGTCTCTTTATTTCTTTCAACAATTTATTTAAATATAACTCTTATTTCAACAATTTGTGCCTTTTTATGGACGATTATTGATTATAACCTAAAGACATAAACAATGCTGTTTTCCGTTATGATTGAAAGATTTCAATGAAAAGGTGTGGTGAAGGATCTTAGATTTAATTATTTTATAAAACATACATAATTGAATTACATTTTTTCGTATTTCCATCTTTGTCTTCGTATATCGCACCACAAGACCACAATTTTTCTTTGTAATTTTGCAACAATAGATTTGGCAACAGTACACACGTTTCTTCCATAAGCATAATACCGTGTTGAGCCTTCGTTACGTGAAAATTTATATAGTACATATATCTCCATGTGTCCATGATTGTAAATAAAGATGGATTGAAAGTGTTACAATTACACTTCATCAGTATAATCATTGTGTTGAAATGTGACTTCTTGAGTCTGTAATTTTGATTTTTTTTTTTTTTTTTTTTTTTTTTTTTTTTTTTTTTTTTTTTTTTTTTTTCCAGTATATTTTAGTAGTTCTGAGTCTCCTCACAATGAAATGCTAATCCAATGTTTGAGAAGATTGCAAGGTGATGATGATAAAGATGTTCAATACTTTGCATCTCTTTATTCAATTCCTTCGACTACACTGCTTTTGGAGGTATGTTTTAAAATATATTTTGAATTTGATATGTTAACTAGAAACATGGCAATCAGGAAATATAGTGATTACTTTCTGTACTATATTTTAAAAGGAATGCACGGAGACAGTGATGTGCAGTGTTAGTTTATCATTAACCTACTTCTCTAACTTTGTACTCGTATTGTTTTTATTCGAAATTCCTATTTACATAAATAAAATAGAAAGTTACATTTCACAATTCTCATGATTCTCTTTACCCCCTCAAGTTCAAAAGTCTTTTGCACCAAGTGATGTCTTGTGCACAAATGTTGAAATTGAAGAACTAAATGGGTAAACATATTAGTTACATTTATAAGAATAGGTATGTTTGTGTGGAAGTGCATGTTAGACACCCCTTCGAACATACCAGCCTTCAGTTTGAGAAACCCCATAGAGGTTGTGTTGAGAAGTAGAAGATTGTTATGTGGATGGTTCTGTGACGCACTTCTCATGGAAGAACGTTTTAAGAGCAGTTGTCTCAGTACCGGATTAAGCACGGAGCGGAGAGGCCGCTCCGGGGCTCCCGCAAATTCCATAAAAATGCAAAGGCATTCAAAAAAATAACAGAGGCGGAAAAGAGCAGGAAAGGAGGGAAAAGGCTGTTGAAATGGTGGTCGAATGTCGCGTATTCTCTCTCGTTCACGTAAGCGAGATATGCTAGATGAGACTGCGGCCCACGAAAATCCCTTGCATTGATAACGCATTCTAGAGTGAACAGGGAGGGAATAGACTAACTTAAAAGACGTTCTGCCACCGGAAACGGGTCAAAATTATGCTTATGTCCGACATTTTTGTTTCTAATTAACAGTTGTATACCAGTGCCACTTGGGTGCCCGGCTTGGGTGTTGGCTCCATGAACAAAATAGGAAGAATTAGAACGTGCTCCATTTAATGTCCTGTCAGATGAAGTAGATAACAAGCGAACCTGTTTTGTGTAACAACATAGGCAAAATGGTAACAAAGAATCATCTACAAACCCAAAAAAAACAATGTAACTTAAATGTTTAACAATATGGCTGACTAGTTTTCCTTAAGCTTCATATCATATATTGGAAGAAGTGAAAAGGACAGTATTAATCAACAGCTCATTCAAATAGAAACCACGCAAGCAAAATGGCATGACAAGATATTTCTCTGATAAGAATAAGAAATAAATTTCTATTATCAAGGTCACAAAGAAAATTGCGATGTTGAATTCAGAAGTGTATCTAGGGATCTGGCACCCATGGCAAACATAGAATTTGCACCCGTGTCCGGAAACTTCAAATGGCTGGTTTCTGTTATTTGTTTTAACGGGTATACTCTAAATAGTGATTTTTGTGAGAGGTTGCCATATCGTAGATACTCCTCTACTTGAATCTAGATGGTTTTGTACGATATGTAGAAAGGGAAAGGCAAAAGATATGATAGTGTATCTGGAATGTCGAATTTAAGTTCTCCTCCGGTGTTTTAATATAATATCTAACATTATGAAATTTTTGTGCATAAGTTGCAGAGATGATATGTCACTAATCACCTTGATGGTTCTTCACTTTTTCTAGTGTCTATTAGAAGTTTTTTATGGAATAAAAAGTGCAATTCTTTGATTTATTCACTTAGTGCTATGTACAGTTTTCATTAATAGGTAATATTTTAAACCTGTCAGGCAGGTTCAGTTCAAAATTTTAAAATGATTGCCTATAGATGCATTCTTCAGCGTTAGAGCGGGGTAAGAAAATCATTAAATAGAGTGGACTGTCGGTTATATTTTCCCTAGAAAACTAATTTCTTTGAACGAATTTAACATTATTATTTTTTTCTTTTTCTGGACATATTGTATTAATGTTATTTTCAATAGCATTAATGCAACTATTCATTCACTAATTTTTGTGATTTCTTTGCATTTCACTCGTGGATTGTCATTTGAGAGCCACAGTAAGAGAACATTAAGAGACGATTAGTCAAAGTTAAATAACCTGTATCCCAATTTCGACAGATTGCACATATCTAGTTTTTTACCATTACTCTTTACCAGGAACTATATCATTAAAATATTATATTTTAAAATGAAAGTAGAGAGGTGGTACATTGTTTTGGTATATATTTTGTTTAAATTGAATCTTTATTAAGAGTATTGACATGTAATGAATGTCATGTTTCTGAGTTGGTTGTTCTTTCTTTTTCAAGTTTCTCCGTATTTTGCATCGTATTTTTGCTTGAACTAAAACATCTGATCTACTGCTTGCTTTTCTTACATTTATGATATTTTTGTGCCAGTTCTTTTATCGATTAGTACATGGTCTATTTGGTTGGTTGTATTTCCATCTGGAGATATCTACGTTGTCGTATGTATTCTTTTATGCGGAAAGCACATAGAGCTTATTACAGTATTTTTGCTACTAGCCAAATTGATCAACAATTCCCCATTTTCATTAGTTTCGTATTGCAGAGAATGTTTACCAATCGTTCCTAGGAAATGTTCTTTCTTCTAGGTAACGTTTATTTTTGCATTTGTATCACCTTCAATGGTATTTAAAAATAGTCATGTACATTTTTTGAAAAAAACATCGAATTTCGTTCGCATAATTTGTGCTTGAAATTTATACAATTACTAAGGAAATTATTTTCTCATAAACCGCTCCTAATTTTTTCTTTAATTTTTTTCATGGAGAGGAGGAATGCTTAAAAAATGAGTGTGTCTCATTTTCGTTGAAGTATCTGAAAACGGCATACCTAAAAACAATGTGAGAAAGTATGTGCTATTGAAATGGACACAACACAAGATGTATCGATAGTTGACTAATTAAGACAAATTTTACAATTGTAGCCATCGAGACAAATGAATCCGGCAAACCGAATAAATAAAAAATTATCTTAATGAAATATATCTTTCATAGGTTTCAAGGAAGTCAAAGATCAATCAACGGTGGGGGGTATTTTAATAGTCGAGAGCATAAAAGGCATTGGTTTATTTCAATATGAAGGTTAACGATATAATGGAGCAGCTGTTGTGAGTGGAACTTACAAGGTGTTCAGAAACAAATAAAGATCACGTTGACAATGGATTGTTTGTGCACTGTGCTGCTCATCATTTACATTTAATTCTTAATGATGCCATGAATGGGATATTAGAAGTTCTACCTTTTTCGAAAAGGATATTATGGTTTCTTTGGTCATAGCATTGATCGATGGAGCATATGACAATGCGGTTAATTCAGATTTTAAAAAAGCTTAATAATCCTACAATTAAATGTACAATTTTAATATAAAATTGTTTTGATCGTTCCGTGATGACTTACAAGATGATCATTACGGAACGATTTTTAGTACCTATATGATATTTTAATATTTTGCCACTTTAACAAACATTTCATTCTATTACAAAATGTTTAAAACGAACGAAGCCAATAACCGGAAAAAACAAATGGAAAATTTTGAATTTGTATTTCATGTAGTACTGCATTCCAAAAATAATATCAACCAAAACTGTTTCAAAATACCTTCAAAGAACTGATTTGTATTTGGAAACGGCACAGAATTTACTCGATGGCGCTTAAGAACTGAAGACTGTTCGGAATCACCATGATGATCTGAAAAATGATGTAATAGAATTATCCAGCCTGGAGGGTAGAAGTGAAATTTAATGATAAATGAGTAAAGAAAACTATACGATATTTTGGTGAACTTTACTATGCCTAACGATTCACTGATGGCCAACAAAATACCGTTTAGGAGACGTGGCATTACTTTTCTGCCAGTGGCACGATAGAAATAACTTCTCAGTGTTGGCCCACCACGATGAGTTATAGTGTGTGATTGTATTTGTGAGTTCAAGAATCCTGACGAATAAACTATTGCTTGGCCACCAAGCAACGCCTATCAACCATAACGGAAGCGCCATATACCAGTTCCCAAACAAACATAGATTCAAATAAGAGTTATGTTCAAGCATCACAAAGTTGTTTCCCAAAAATGAATTAATGATGCTTTAATAATAGACTCGGGCAACCTTGCACACAGCATTGACTTTATCAAGCTCTATCACGGCAAACGTTATTTCTCCTGAGGAGGAGATCAAGATTCCCGAGTATTTTCAAGTCATTATAGATGGTTCACCTCACTGGATGTATGTAACATCTGATATCGTCACCTGTTTCCAATGTAAATAAGGCCACCGTGTCAAGAATTATCCGAACACTAATTTCATTCGTAACCAACAGAGCTTGGATTCTTATGACTTGTCATCTTTTCATAGGTGCATTCTAGACGTAAGTAACTTGTAAACGAATGTTAGTCACGACATGCAGGTGATAGAAATATATAGTTCTTGGGTATTTTTTTCCATTTTTCATTTTAGGTAATTGTTTTGGACTTTGCCTTAATGTTTGCCATTTTTACGCATTTTATTTCCTTTTCGTATTTTTAGTTTGTGAATGTTTCGAGGATCTACAATAACACCATAACAAAGTTTTTATTGTATCATCATTTCCTGACGAAATTCACTACTTCAGTACACACTGTTTTTCAAACTCTCGAATTTACACGGATCATCGATAACTTCGTCGAACTTTCAAAACTGACGGTTGGAAGATCGGAGCTAAGGATTACATTTCCTCCTAAAATAAAGACTTTATATTAAATATAATTTTATATAAATACATTTTATTTAAAATTGTAAAATTCGTTGAATAAACATTTTTTTCAAATTTTTTAGTTTTGAAAAATTACTGTTATTTTGCCCTTATTTTTAAGTTATTTTATAGGTCATTTTCAAAGATTTTTTTACGTCATCAAAATCCGAGCTCTTGTAATCAAGATCTACCCTGCCCCTCTATTGTATCAAAAATATCACTTAGAAATGATCTAATATCACCCTTAGTCTCCCCATCTGTTGACAATTAATTACCAGAAATCAACCGCGAATATTTCTCCCTCACCTAAATTCCTCTCATTCTTTACTTCCTCACAATTCGCTATCCGAGAGTTCTCAGAATGAAACAGAATTATCAGCTATAAACCTTCAAATAAATATAATTTAAATTAATGTATATTGTAAATAATCGTTACTTTGGATAATGATCTCTTTCGAAAATTTACTTATTTTATTTCATATATATTTTGATGTGATTAAGGTACTTGTAAATTAGTCATACATTCTTGTCGTGTCAGTTGGGTTTATTTACATTACATTAGTACATTGTCCACCGTAAAAATAATAATAATAATTTTATAAAAGATTCCACAATTTCAACGTTTCGTTATAATGATTCTTTCTACATTTTTCCTTTTAGTATCTAAAGCAGAATCACGTCCAGACTGGAGCCAGGAATCTACATATTTAGATGGATAAAATAGACAAAGAGGTGGGTCATTAATTTCTTAAATAAAAAATTAGATGCGATTTCCATTTTTAAAGATATTCAAATCAAGATTTTCAATTTGCTAAAGTGACATGTTCGTGATCATGTTTACCAAGCAGTCTTGTTTCAGTTGCTTCTTTTAATTCTTCTTAAAATTTGAAAGGGTTGACGGGATCGTTCTTGATGTGTTCTTCTTTTGTGTCAAGCGGTACTCTAAAACATAAATTTTTCACTGCTTCGTTGGCCATAGAATAATAACTACCTGGAACTAATTTTCTGCATTCAAAAAGTGATAGTCATTTACATTTTTTTCATTGCCAAATCTTGATCATATTTCGATGCTATAGAGCCTCCCTTAACTCTACAATGCATCACATCTATCCAAGATCCAAAATAAAGTTTATATCAGTAATTTTATTCAGAAGACCGCTAAAAATGGTATTTTGAGAATTGTCTCTTGTTGGATGTTTGTTCTTCTTTGAAATGGCACATGAATGCTTCATAGCTTTTGCACACGCAAAATTGTTTCCAATCTTTAATAGTGCATGGTAATGGCGAATGTTAAAATCGCAGTATGTATGAAAATATATCTGTTTTATAATTACAAAAGTAGGTAGCACCACTGAGCACCCCCGTGGTAGCTCGTGCACGGACGAGATATTCGCAGAACAAACTTCTCACCGGGAACTCAATCGCTGGGTTTCGGTTAGTGTTGCGCCACCTCTGTGATATCGACGACACGACTTTGCTATTTTTTCGATCAAAACGTCCATTTTATCACCTACAAAGGGAATTTTTTTCTTATTTCATAGAAGAGTGCAGGCAAAGCTCTCTTTGCGTACACCCGGAGATAGAGTGACAATTTCCGAATTGACAGGAGCACGAAGCAAATGAATACGCGGAGATCTTGAGGCTGCGCCAGGAAATACATTACACCCTATTCTCAGCCCATGATTTGACAGGTAGTGACATTAGCATTCAAAGGCATTAGCAAACTGTGTTGTGTGTCTGCGATGATTTCCAGTGTTACAGAGGTCGATTTCATCAACCTTCGTCAAATTCGTCAATCATTTTTAATGAAAGTCAAATATTTGGCGCCTCGTTACGTTTCACCGATACTTTAGGGTTTTTATAAATGATGCTCCGATAGTTTTGACGATTCGTCAATGCGCACGATACTTTACCGATACTTTAGGGTTGAAATGATGCTCCGATAGTTTTGACGATACGTTAATGCGCACGTACGTTGATTTATCTTCATCGTACAGAGGTTTGCTGTAGCAACTGTAGATACTGTAGTATCACATCGTGGTTTCTCATTGGCTGCTGAATACTGAGGACGTATTATCTATATTTCAAGTAGGTTGGCATTGTTTGCACATTTAAACAATTTTATTCAGAAGAAAAAACTCTTATCTTCAATACTGTAGTTGTTAAAAAACTCAGACAAATTTTTGAACTGTTGCAATTATAGAACTTTGTGATATTGAAACGAAACTGATCCCCATGCCATTTTTAGGTGTCCTTTATGCTATCCGATGGCAAAGTTTAATTAAGAGAATTGTAGCCATTTTTTAGAAAAACCTGAAAATGATCTTGAGGCTTCATATAAAGTACCGCGAAAAATTAAAACATCGGTTCCAAATTCAAGGGGTCTCGCAGTTAAATCGATTAGGGAATATCAATTTTGGTGAAAATCCTACTTCGGTTTAGTCGCTAGTATACAATACAAATTTTTCTGTGTGTTGTAGTCTGAGTGTTTCCGAACCGTGTGCAGTTGAGGAGCTGGTGACAAATATGCATGTGTAATCGTTTTTATTAGAGTACCTATTTTATAAAAAAGTGATAACGAGCAAAAGAATTAAACAAAACGCTACGAAATTACAGTGTACTTATGAACGTATTTATCTATGTGTCGGTCGTGATCCAACGGTTAGTGTTAGTGCTGTATGCACTTGATGTAAAAGCAAAATGGTATAATTTCAATGTTGAACATCCTTGGCAGATTCCTATGGGTCTATTAGCAAAAGAGCACAGCTTAAGGAAGGGAAAATAATTTGTCCGTTAAAATGTTTGTGCAGCGTGGTTCATCTAAAATACATTAACATTTTAAGTGTTCGATATCTGAAATCCAACAAATGAGGTATATCTCGGCATTAATTTCTGTCCAAACAATCGATACAGTAATCTTGTATTTTTTTTTTATTTATTGTTAAACGACAAATAAACGCTTATGTTGTCTTAGAATGTCCACGGTGGTAGAACAAGGACACAATAATTTTACATTGTGATAATATAATGTTTCCATGATTCGAAATTCTACACTTTAGTAATTGATGGGGAGAGAAAAGTGCGTGAGTTACATAGTATGGTTTAGTAATAAACAGAAAAATGTTCTGTGCTGTGCGGAACAAAACCTGGAAAATTTATATTCTCAATTTTGGCAAACCTGGAAAAAAACTTGATTTTTAAAAAAGTTCGATCGCTGGCCACCCTGTTTAAGCGTTTGGATCTACCAGAATGTCAGTCGGTGACGATCCAAAGGTCATCCTTCCACATCAACAGATGATGCCCTCGAGAGATATACTGTGATTCGTGGAAATTTTCTATTAACTGTTCAAAAGACGCTGACGGAGTGGGCAATAGTATAGGATCATGCCAACAAATTTTAAGTGACAAACGTGAGGCGTCGAGTCGTTTTCAAATTCGCTCCACCATAATTGGCCGACGATCAGCAACAGACCCGTATTGTAATCAGCCAGGAACTGCTTGCTAGCCACTCCCAATGACGATGAAAACTTCAAGAACATTTTAACAGGCGATGAGACGATGACTTTGGTATTAAAACGAAGATGCAATCGTCGCAGTGAATGAGCAAAAACGTCTTCTCGCCCCCCCCCCCCACACCACACACACACACAAAACATGCATGAGTCAGTCAAAGACCAAGGTGATGATGGTCGTGATATTTGACTCCAAAGTAATTTTCCATCTCGAACGTGTATCACGTGGACAGAGGGTAAACAAGAAAGCGGCAAGAGACCTGCACGCCGTCCAAAAAAGTGCGTCCCAGAAGTTACGGAAAAGTTAGGAATGGTGTATTTTCAGTATAGAGGATTACTTTGAAGGAGTACAGTGATTAAAATGTACAATGAGCAATAAAGATGTTATAACAAAGGTTCGCTTTCTTTTTAAACCCACCTGGTATATCCTGTATTATTATTGCTGAGAGAGCATTTTTATCAAAAAATATTCAAGCATTCTGGTGATCATCTTTTGATCAGTATGTGGGGGTTTCTTCGATCTCTGCCTCTTCCCATATTCATTTACAAAAGTGTTACAAATGCGTGAAGCGATTAAACAATATGTGCCTCTTAGCACCTGAAGATTCAAAATTCTGTGTTGCTCCTTTTCCTTCTCTTTCTTCCCTTTATAAAAACAATGTCTGTGTTAATCACCTTCAATTACAATTGAAATTTGTTCACATTACGTGTATAATTATCCTAGAGTTGAAATCAATTTTGATACATATAGTTTGCTTTTAATATTGCCTAAACAACAGTTCTAATTTTTTATGTTGAACAAATGTAATGTATATATGGAGAGTTTTTCTTTTAATTTTAAATCCATTTCCTGTTTTTCAGCCTTCCTGTGATGTAGATCAATAAAGAAGAGTCAAGACTGTTCTCAAATCAAAAGTCAACCTCACAATTTAGTATATTAAAAATAAACTTGTTATGTAGATTAAATCATGTGTTAATATTGATGTTTCATTTCATAATATCTAAGTTGCAATTAATTTTATCAAAACTTTTCTCTGACCTCATCTTTTTAAGAAGTAACCTAAAAGGTTTACAGAGCGCATTCCACAAATTTTTGCAGGCTACATCATTTAATAGTCAATATTTTTACTGAAAGTATAAAAAAGCATGCTTATTAAGTATACTAATGTTCTAAACCTAATTATTTTGAAGAATGTGTACAGAAGTATGTTGAAATATGTAGTGTAATGTGAGTCATACTTGTTAATATTTATGGGGCAAGATTGCTGAAACAATATTTTATACAGTTAACATAAAGTTATTGAAATAAACATGTATATAATATTGAATGCAAGTTCCTTTTACCAAGAGGATTGGTGATGTATAAACGTTTTAAAGTATTTTTTTTATTGTATGATTTTTTTATTTACACTTGCCTATATCATTTAGTACAAATGGATAGTTGAAGTTGAGACAATGTTGGAGTTCGGTAAAATACAAGATAATTAATTTATGAATAGTCTTTTGAGACTTAAATGCTCATGTTGCATATGTTCTATAATTTAAAAGAATGTAAATGGAAATTAATTATAACAGGGTGTCGTGTTTCAATACAATTAAGTACTTCAGACAAATCTTGAAACATTTCCAATTTCATGGTAAAATCTGTAAGTCTGTAATGGAAGATGTAAAATACTTGTGTTCCTTTGTACAAGAAAAATAAAACAATTGTCGTGAAATTGATAGACAATCATAATTGTTTATGAAAAATAATTTTCCTTATTGATCCTGCACTTTACTGTTGACTTCATCCTGACTTTATCTGTAACCTTTACCGTTTTTTTCACAAGTTAGTTTTTCTCAATTATTTAATACATTGAATTACACTGCATGGACCCCCTTAATCTTAAAATGTATTAAATTTTGAATATGCAATAAAGGTACATCATTATCCAATTATTTATTTATGCAAAATTTATTAAATTGGGTGATATAGTTAAGCCTCAGTTAACACGAATTCCAAAGGACTGAAATAATCGGTGTGTGATAAACATTCTGATTATATACACAGACACACATAGCGCCAGGGAAGTTGCGCAATGGCACCTTGCTGTTGAGTGTGCTAGCAACGGAAAATATTTTGGTAGCAGGACCGGCGCGAGTGCACTTGCCCATACCGGGTGGTGGTCCCCCTCACCTTTCCTCTCTCACCGAAAATGTATATAATGGAAAAATACAAAACAAGTTTACATATTGTCATGTTTATCATTAAATTGTCATCAAATTTATTTTATGTAACTTCAGCTGAGTTCATTTTTGCTATGCAAAAACAGCGCTGCACTTTGTATATGTTTATATAAACTCATTTAACAATTTTTACAAATGGATTTTGTCGGTCATGTTGCTATAAACATGTAAAAAAAGGTAATAGTGTTGAACCAAAAATTTGTTCATTTCTAGAATTTGAAGTTTATGGAATATTTATCTTGCACAAAATTTCGAGTTGATATTTTACCCACACGGAATTTTTCGTGTGTGTACTGCTGCTTGTTAAAGTAAATTGCGTTCTCACAATAATCATAACAGATGCTGGAAGTCTCGTATTCTTTACTTATTTCCCAGTGATCTGGTTCCTACCAACACAAATCCAATTTTTAATGCGAGGACATGACTTAGCCCAGTGCAGAGAATGATTTGTATAATCGGGACCCGGTAAAATCCTGGAATTGTAATTACACGTACTAATTAACTGTATAACCCGCTTAACATAGAGAGGAGATGGTCAATTTTGATATGTTGATACGTATCTTGTTTGAATTTTATGACATTTGTTGCAGTCTCGCATCTCCAAAACTCCCGTGCACGACACCAATTTCTTTACATTTACTACCAAATTGTTCTCTTATCCAATAACTTCCGAAAATCTTCAAAATGACTCGGTATGGAAACCGATTTCATCGCAATGTCATAATTGCCCTTTTCTGTAATTGCTCTCCTAATATTCTGCCCACAACTGGATCAGTGCACTTCCTGAATTCCTCAAACCAAATGGGTCAAATGGTACAAAGCATAAATCGTCAAACGCAAATCCCGTACATTGTGGGTCCTCTTTTGCCACGGTCATCTGCCAATATGCTTTACAGTAATCGGTACACGAAAATATTTCACCTCATTAATATACGGTGACTTTCAAAACTATTTGGACATGGGAAATTTAGCAGAATAATCATGGATTAGGAATAATTAAAGAAGAAAATAAATTCAATTAAGTATAAGTAGAGGCCGGACTTTAAGGGGCAGTTTTGTTTCAATTTAGGTGCTAAAATAGATGCAAAAAATGTGCATTATTTAGGTCAAAAAGTTAAAATTGGTGCATGTTTAGGTATAAAGGGTTTACATAATTTTATACCTTAACATGACCAATCCACATGACATGTTGAGCGAATGAAGCTGAAGGGAAAAAGATGCCAATGAAGCACTGGAGATTTGATTATGGTTTCAAAGCTTTATTCTTCCCATGTTTTCCTTGTTGCAAATGTTGCCCAACACATGAGGTAAGATGTTTTTCATACACTGCTATATCTCAGCCACAACCATCATGCCTAAGCTATCGTCCGATAAACAGAACCGTTCAATAGTATGCCATCTTCTGCATACTGCTTACCCATTTCTTTATTTTATTACTTTTACCTTACTCATTACTAGAATGTTCAATAACAACTGAATATGAGGCCTAGAATGCACGCAAACAAACGTTTTTCGATACAACTTCCCGATAATTTATCAACAACAATGAACACTTCCCCCAGTGCCAACGTCTGTCCAGTTCTAAAGTGAGTTTAGTGTTCGCTTATGTGAAGATTCCCAAAGTTTGGGAGTGGGTTGAGGGAATGGGGAACGCGAGAGGGCCATGGGCAATAGGATTTGTTTGAAATGTTTTTGAGTTACTGGTGGGCGGTAATAGATGCGATCAATGTCTCAGTTGAAGCAGCATCAGATTTGCCACAGAAGTGCGCAAATGTTAGACGTAGAATAGCAACACATCAAATATACCAGAACTCAACTGTGTTCCTCTCGAAACACCTTAGGCATTGGCAAGATATATGGTAAAAGAAGACCTTTGTCTTAATTGTGATAGCTGGTAATGAACGACAATGGGTCTCCTTAACTTTTGTTCTTCTGAGATAGAAGCAGGTTCTTTTGGAGCAAACGAAAGTACATGACTTGCACAAACATTAATTTAACTTTAAACAGTGTTTGTTCATGTGCACATTCAAAATAATTATGTTTGTGGTAAAATATTAGGAAATAGGGGCAGATGGTTCATTTAGGTGCAAGGAAAGTTTTCAAAATGCTTTCAATTGGGTTACATAATATGTTACAAATAAAATATCAAGGTTTCGAATGCACTTTGACAGTAGGTACATCACATTAAAATACGGTCCTTAATTATAAGCTTACTTTCATAAGCAGTTATAAGGAAATTACGAAACTTTCTTTAAAATGACAATAATCAACTGATATTTTTAAAATATGATTTTTTATACTGAAAAGGTATCTCGCAAAACTATTCGGACACTTCAATGGAAATATAAACAAATATGCACAGTAAATAATGTTCAAACAGAAAAACATGTAAGAAATAACACAGTAAGAGTGTTCAATATCGTGTAGCCATCCCCTTTTGCTGCAGTAGGTCCTTCAGTATATTTGGTATTCTTTGTACCAAGCTTTTGGGTATAAGAAAGAGAATTTTTTCTCCATGTTGCATTATGTGCTTTATTTTTTTATTCATTATAGCCGCATCAACCAAAGGTTCTTTGCGACTTTGCAGTATTTTACATTAAAGTTCAATATTTGATTTTAAATTAGTTATGTACACAGAATAATGTTCAGAATAATAATGAAATTATTTTAATAATACAAAATTTGACACTCAGTCATGACTATGTTAATGTGCATAGGAAGTCAAGTATATTTTATTAAATACATTGATATTGTGGCAAAATTTTATAATTTCCTGTTGTAAGATAAGAGTAAATGACTGCTTGAAATTGTTGTTCTGGTGATAGGCGTTCTTTCTTCCTGAAAGTTAGGCAAACGTTCACTTTATGGGATACAGTTAGTTCAACCTCACGTAGGGCACAAGTAGTTTATGGAACAAGTGTGAAAGATGTCTTAGTATAGATAACATTACTTGTTCTCGTCTAGTTGTTTACCCCGCTCCCTTTCTCCCTCTCCCCCTCCCTCTTTCCCTCTCTCTCCCTCCGTCTCTCTCCAGTTGCATTCTATCCTGGAGAGATCAACGTGTGTAATTATGGAGATCAGCCATTCACCTGCATCCCTTGGTTAAGGCAAGGTAGTTAGCCTTGAATATCAATTGGGGGATAGGATGACATTTTAGGGCGATGAGGGGTGAAACGACTAGGATGATGGTAGGTGTTAGATAGGGTAGAGGGAGGGGTTCGTGGGCTTTTGCAAATAAAAGGTGTTCTCTATAGGCGTTCTCTTTCTTCTTTTTCTTTCTTTCTCTTTCTAACTATAGGCGTTCTCTTTTTTCCTGAAACTTGGGGCAGACGTTCACACTATAAGATAGCGTTTTTTCAACCTCACATAAATCACACAGGGGCATTCACCTTGTGACTGAGAGAAACCACGAATATACACAGTCCGTCCCACAGAAAAGGTGACTGATTTTATATTCGCCGAACCAATCGTGCAATCTGATTTGATGCAGGAATTAAGTAGTGTTGTGTTTCGACTACCTTCCGTTTTAAAAGGAACAACGCTGGCATCAAGGACTGCACGCAGTAAATGTTACTGCAACAGTATGTTTTGACCCTCGGTCGTGAAAAGAGCAATGGAGCAACGTGCGAACATTAAGTTTTGTTTTAAAGTGGGTAAAAGTGCCAGAGAAACTTTTGAAATGATACAACGTGTTTATGGTAGTGAAGCAATGAGTCGTAAAAACGTTTTTAAGTGGCATTGAAGATTTTGTGATGGAAGAGAAAGCATTGAAGACGGTCCACGTCCAGGAGCATCAGCGACAGTTCGAGTCGAAGAAAATATTCAAAAAGTTGCTGAAATTCTTCGAAATGATCGTTGTGCATCTACCAGGTTAATCGAGGAGATCACTGAAATTCCTAAAACAACTGTGCATCGCATATTGACTGAAAATCTGGGCAAAAAGAAGATCTGTTGTCACTTTGTGCCCCACTCACTCACGGGCGACCAAAAGCATTGCAGAGTGGAACACTGCAGAGACATGAAACGATCGGCCGAAGAGGACGCAGACTTCCTGTCATGCATCGTAACCGGTGATGAAACACGGTGTTTTCAATACGAGTCACTTACAAAGCGTCAGAGCTCGAAATGGAAAGGTCCAGAATCGCCGAAACCGAAAAAAGTGCGAATGCAGAAAAGTCGTGTGAAGACACTGCTCACAGTTTTCTTTTATTCCAAAGGAATTATCCATAAAGAATTTGCTCCAGAAGGTCAAATGGTGAACGCACATTACTACTTGGGTGTTCTAACTCGTTTATGGTCGAGGATTGTTCGGGTGAGACCTGAATACCGCAGCAAAGGAACTTGGTGTTTGTTGCACGAC